TATTTATTATCAAATATTATATATAAAAATTTATATATATATATATATATATATAATTAAAAACAGTGCTTTTCGGCAGTTCAGTTTGATATAGATATTTTTGAAAGATTTCATTCAATCATGTTTTCTTTCATTAATATTCAAATTTGAGTAATGTCCATATTCTGAGTAAAATGTATTTAATTTTGAAAACTCAAGCATAACCAATCATGTAGGCCCTTTACAAATAAATTAATAACCACAATAAATAACACTTATAAATTTTACGATATGATTAAAAATTCCATATATGCCACCACTATAATTTTTATTTTATGTTAGTCCTACAGACATGCAAAAATATCGATCAGAATGATCGTTGTTGAAGTTCTCTTTGCAGCTTGTGAAAAAATTCTGATACGTACAAAATATTTTTGGTTTTAATCTAACATCAGCCGATCTTATTAAGCTATATTATACAGAATAGAACACACTATATAGTGACACTAAATAATGCCCTGTTTTTCCACAGATGCTAATAGGTAATTTATTATGTCTTAAATTGACTAGTCGGACTTGAGATTGTGAGTTGTAAAACTATAGATTCTAATTAATTGTTCTGTAATTTTTTTGAGATTATAAAATTCTAATCTAAAGTACTTCAACACAAAAGGCAAACATTATAATATTTTGGTAAACACTATATTAGAAAGTAAATAAAATCTCAGTTGGTCAATCGTCAATTTACTAAAATTAATACAATATATGTCGCTTTTATCAAATTAAAAATGTTATGCAAATGTGTGTTGTAACGTGCTAATATCTTATATTAAAAAAACAATGTTATTGTTTATTCAAATATAAGTTTTCAGTTATTATTATTGTAAAAAATGAACCCATAACTTTACTTACTGTCTATCCTTTAAAATATGTACTTTTAAAATACAGCCTCTTTTAGTGTTGAAAAAATAGACGTTGAACATCGAAATATGACTGTTTCCTTTAAAAATAATGAAATAAATATAATTGATTACATAGTTAAAAATATATTTGCCTTCATTTTGAAGTACTTTTCTATCTCGTAAATCTACTGATTGCATCGAGTTTTGTGAAATATTGGTACAGTTTTAAAAATAATATTTCTACAATTAATTAAAATTGTTTAAGGACGTTTTTTTACAAATCTTTTTGAAAATCATATCATCATATTAAGAACAATAACCTGATGTATATAATATGTATTATAATATCTTTTATAAAAAATCGTTACTATAATGATTTTTAATAACATTTGAACGTTTAATATTATGACTAAAGAAATCATTGATAACTTTTCGAAAATTATTTGAGCTTGAAAAAATATTTGAGACCGCAAGCAAAATATCGTTTATCTATTAAGTTGCTAATGAATCTTTGAACTGAGAGCTTCTGTTCTCCTGAATCTTTGATTAGGATGCTCCTGTTCTCAATCAACATAAACCAAAATAATGTATATATCTTTTACTTCGGTTTAATAAAACATTACAAATTTTGAATTTTTCCTAATCTGTCTAATTTGTGGAAAAAAACGTACCATCCCAGATATCACAATAAATGAATAAATATTAGTTAAAAACTAAATAATAACTTTGTTTTACAGTTGCAATCTCCAAACCGAAAGTGGTTTTTGAAATACCGATGCTTGTTGTTCTTTACCGCCAAGAATATAAACAAACAAGGGTAACCTGCTCTGTCCATCACCACGACCAGCACTACGGGCCCTTGTTTTTCTAACAGGAAGAGCCATCAATTCTACACCATCCTCTGCACAAAATGGAGGGTTGTCCATCCCTGAATCAGGAGTATCTAAAGCTCGACGGGCCTGAAAAAGGTACAAGCCGCGATAATATTTCTACTATTTGACCTAAGGCAATATTATAAATTATTTGATTCTCTACTAATTGTTTATGCATTATACAAATAAATTACTTTAAAAGTTAGAAGAGATAATAAATAATTGCAACAATGATTTTTTACTTGCTGAGCTCTGGCGTCGTCATCATTTCTCTTCATCAATATATGCTGAACGTCAGGTCCTAAATAATGGGGATTGCAGAATCCAAATAATCCTGATTGTTCATTCAACCTGTTAACTGTCTCTGCACTGGCATAGTCAGAAGTTGTTTCGTTGTCTTCAGAAAGTTTTGTTTCCTTAAAACGCACAGATGCCGATTTTGGGATGTCATCTCCATCGCACAAATGAGAAGAATAACTTTGTTCACCATTTGGACGAAATCTTCTATTCGTTTCACTGATATAAACAAAATATGAGTATTTCGGTACAACACTTTATGTTAAATAAGTTACCTGGAGTTTTCAGTTGTTGGCGATAGGGCTCGGAAATTTGGTACTGAAACATGATCCCGTGGTATTTTGCATAGCTGAAACGCATATGAGCTATGTGATCTAGGAAGATTAGAAGGCTCGTCTTCGTCATTGGTTCTTAAAAGGTTTTCGGTGCTGTCGTCAGCGCTGGGAAGAACCGAGTAGTTGCACCTGGAGCTCGCGCCAAATTTAGGAATATTTTTAGTGATTTCTTTCAAAAATCCAACGCCTAAAATGCACTCTCATAAACATCTACTCATTTCTTATTGTTTAAATTTCTATTACCTGCAGTGTTGGAACTATTTCCGTTCTGAATGCTTTCTTCGTAAGGAGGAGGCGGTATATCGTCGTCAGGACATGGAGACACTCTGTTTCCCGGAAAGCAATACGAAGGTGGTTTTTGACAAATGCTGGAAGGCGTCGTCGTTAATATTGAAGAACTCGATGATGCTGATGGTGTTGCTGTAGAAGCTTCCGGTTTTAAATGCAAAGAAGAAACTGCTAAAGCAATACTTTGGGAACGCGGTTGCGGACCTACGCCTACCGTAGAAAGTTTATCCCAAGTTTCTGTACCTGCGGATCAGTAAAATTCTTGATAAAACTGGTAAATATTATTAGCAGTTAATATTATTATTTTACCAAAGCTAAAGCGCCAAGAGTCATTGGATAAATTTCCAGAAGTCTCTCCACCAAATATCAACATTGATCCAGGAAGTCTACAAGCTGCATGACTATGCAAAGGACCTGGACTCATCTTGCCATTTTTGATGCAACTCCATTCTTGACGTGCTGCATGTACAAACAAAAATATCATCAATTACCCATTACCAATGTATTAGGATTTTCAATTATATTTACAAGTGTTCCATTTCCACAAATCTTGTCGTTCTTGCAAATCCGTCATACCACCATAGATCCAAATGTCATTTCCATTAATTACTGCACTGTGTTTGTGCCTCGGAGGGGGCACTAATGAATTATTGTCACTTCCTTTTCTTTTACGAGGCCACAAAAGTTTCCAAGTTTCAGTTTCTACAAGGAAGCATTTTATTTATTATTGTTCATTTATTTAGTATATATCTGAAGATCCCACAACAACTCAGTATACCTAAATCGATATTAAATATTGAAATACAATTCAAAATGGTTATATTCTGCTAAAATTTATTACTCGTATATATGTTTTGAACAAATCCATTAAAAAAATGTATTTAGAAAATTTGTACCAAAATAAATAACCTACAATATTTTCTAAAATCATAATGTCCTAAATAAAACTGTTTTAATCTAAGATGGAAAAGCAAAAATATTCTTGATAAGTTTTGTGAATATTTCAGAGGTATTACAAAGATATCAAGTTGCACATAGATATACAAATATTTACCAAAATTAAAAGCCCATAACTCATCAGAAGATCCTCTTAAATCCTGATAACCACCATGAAGAAGCATATGACCTCCAAAAATAAGGGCACAGTGACCTCTTCTACCACGAGGAGCTTGATCCGTTTTATTGAAACGCACCTTTCGCCATCTGTTGTCCTGAAAATAATGACAAAATAAGTATTTTTGTAACAAATAATAGCGAAAAATATTATTTGTATCAATGCACCTGTACACTGTATACCCATAAAGGGGTCTCTGTACTTGAAAACCCTACTTCACCCCCGAAAACATATAAATGTCCTTTGTAACCTACGGCAGAGTGCTCTTGAAGACTTGGTGGTACTTCTCCAGAAGGGATTAATTTTTGCCATTTTCCGTCAGCTTGAAAAAATAATATTTATTGATATTAATAAACTTTTGTTTGAAATTTCATATACTTACATATTCATATATCAGCCATTTAATTAAAAAAAAAATAGATATTTTTAAATGTTCCTTAGAGTTAATGAGATAAATATATATATTCTACAGTTTACCTAATCTGTAAGCCCACAAGTCCTTCAATGGTATGTTACCATTTTTACCTCCAAGAAGGTAAAGTCTACCACCAAGAAGAGTAACGCTGTGTTTCGTCCTTCCTGGAGGCGCAGGTGGATCGGCAGGTACACTACTCCACATCATTCCTTCAAATATATATATATATATATATATATATATATATATATATATATATATATATATATATGATAATCCACATTCACACCTACACACACATAATAATGAAAATAATAATAATACTTAAAAATATTCTCCATTACTATTTGGACGAATATCATGTTCGTTCCATCCCTGGTTAAAACCACTTAGAAATCATTTTCCAAAGACTAAACAATTAACTAATTATAATCACATAACAGCAATTATTTCCAAGACAGGTAAATTTGCGTGCAGGTTAATTATATCCGATTTCTGACATCTGATAAAACGAATTTCCTGAATGCATTTTCTCAACTATATATATATATATATATATATATATATATATATATATATATCTCCATTTATAAATTCAGTTGTGTTGTATATTTTCACACATATATTAATTTATATGGTCAAATGCAAATAGTGAACAGTAATAACGTAGCTGGGGGTACGCTATTTTTTCTTTCAACCCTTTACACATTTATAATATCAAGCAACATGGATTAATAAAATGTATTGGTTTATAACGCAAAGTTTGTATTTGATTTAAATCTAAATACTGGAATATGGCTAATGAACTAGCGTTTATAGGACCATATAAATATATAAAACATATTATTTAAATTCTAAATCAAAGAGAGTATATAACAAATTGGTATAAAGTAGGATAATCTATAATATTTTCTAATGCTAAAAGCATCTACAATATTTTGGTATACTTTAAAATCTTAATTATAAGTAAAAAAATAAATTGATAAATTTGTAACTTCTTATGTATTTATATATTAATGATTTTCCTGAATGCATTATATAAATTTTAATGATCGATCATTGTAGATCTACAATATTCTGTTACATTATTTATTTATTTATTTATTTAACATATATAATAATATTCAAATAATTATCGAATAATATTCTAATTTGCAATTTAATATATAAGGTTATTTAAAGTTTAATATAAAAATTTCCAGCATCTTTTATGCACTTATTTTTTTATAATAAAAATAAATATAAAATTTTTAAATAATTATATTATTATCAAATATACAAAATAACACTATACAGCAAGACAGTATACCTTAAAATCGTTATTGAAAATAAATCATCAATTTAGAAGTGAACAAAATTCGTTATAACTTTTGAAACATTCATCTGACTTAAATGCGGTTTTTAAAGAAATTGTAGAAAACTAAATGATGTGCAATATTTTACAGTATTATATCTTTCTAACAATTAAATAGAAAGTATTGAAGCGAGTTCTTTAAAATTAAAATATTCAACAACAAAAAACCCACGAACAACTCGGTGTGTAGGCAAATTGTTGAAAATAAAGTTTTGTGATTGTAAAAATATTTATAGCATTTAATTCGATTGAAATGAGTGAAGTGATTGAGAAATATCTTTACATTTGGTAAATATAAAGTCTTTTCAAACATTGAAAGACCCCACAGCAACTTCACTCAAAAACACACAAAAACACTCAAAAACTAGTAAAAATAAATTATTTAACAAAAGTACATCCATTTCTTACATTTTTTTATTACTTTTAAACTGTTGGTGTAATATAGATAATAAATAAACAATTTCTAATATCAATTCAATACATCGTGAATCAACACAAAAAGTTACTTATATAAAGTAACAGACCAATAAAAAAATTAAATACCTAAATAGTTTGGTAACGAAATTAAATTTCTTCTATATTATTCATTATAGTAAATAAATTAATTTTGAATCATCAATTTTATTTATTAGAATCAATCCGTAACTAATAATCAATAATTACGGGCATTTAATATTTATACAAGTTGCGAAGATAAAATAATGAAATATTAAACTAACTTTCAAAAGTTAGTATATATATATATATATATATATATATATATAATATTTTTATGTTGACGTCTTCTTGAAATCATACATGTCGCTCATTATATATATATATATATATATATATATATATATATATATATATATATATCTTTTATTTCGACGACTGGCTGAAAAACATCATTCACGATATGTCTCGACGTCGAACAAAAAAATCTATTATATATATATATATATATATATATATATATATATACATATAAATCATAACACGTAAACAAAACTAATTTTGAATAAACCTCAACACCAGCTCTCCCACAATTTCCACCTCGTGTATGTATTAGTATCCGTATATAAACTGACGATCAATACGACCTCATGGTTCTCAGGAAATGCATCGCAAAAAACAGCATTAAAAAATTTCAAAATCACTTGAAACACATCAAAATTGATCACATGTTTATTCATTTAATAATATATGCTTTTGAAAATAAATAATAGTTTGTATATTTAATTCAAAAAAAATGCAAATTGTATGCGTTTTAATTTCCATGCTGGAAACCTTGCCGAAGGAAACCTGGGGAACGCGTCTTCGGACATACAATATGGATGGAAAAATAAATAAACCCATATATATATATATATATATATATATAAATATATGTTAAAAATTTTATTATATATATATATATATATATATATATATAATGCATCGTAGGTTTTTTATTGTCGTAGGATTTTTATAGTTTTCGATTACCGATAACGATTTTAAAGTTTACCGAGTTGCTTGAGTATATTATTGCTAAAAATTATTGTATATTAATAACTTCCCGTAGGGTAAGTTATAGCAATGGGCCGAAAAACAAAAATTAAAATTTTTGCAAATCTTGACGTTTCAGACGTATCTGAACATTTTGGCTTACCGCAGAAAAAATGGATTTGAACATTTTGGCTTACCTCAGAAAAATTGGATTTGAACATTTTGGCTTACCTCAAAAAAATTGGATTTGTGTGTGTGTTTTGTGTGTTCGCAATTTTTCGTCCACGTTTTCAGGCGCATGGATCAACCGATTTGAATGGTTAAAAAAAACATTCGATTCCTATTGATAGGGAGTTGTGCTGATTAGTTTTTGGGAAAGGCAGGTCCAGCAGTTACGGAAATAACTGCAAAGAGTGCAGAAAATAGAAATCGAGTAATTGAGAGAACGGAGCATCCGATTTGAATGATCTAAAAAACATTCAATTAGTAATGATTTGGAGAAGAGTTTATTATTTTTTGGCAAAGGCAAGCCCAGTAATTTCAAAGTTACGGAGCTAAATGTGTAAAAAATGGCAGTTTTGGAGAGAACTAAGCGTCCGATTTAAATGATTCGAAAAACTTTCCGCTTGTTTTGTTTCATGAAAAATTTTTGTTGGATTTTTTTTCAAAAATAATTTTTTTTGTATATCGAAAATAAATCAGATTTTATTTTTAATTCTGACTAAAGTTCATCTTTCTGAAAGCATCTAATAAGCTTTCTTTTATTCATTCTTTATGAAGATCTGAAAAAAAATTAAAAATAACATTAACCACATATTAAAAAGCAAAGATTATTTTGAAATTTTTATTTTAAGATATTTCAATATTACTTTGATGTGTGCACATATATTGATACATTTATGTATATTAATTAACATAATTAACTAAATATTTTAATTTTGATAATTATATGTACTTAATTAGGTTGCAACTTTCTTCCACGCCACCCATGAGGTGAAGTTGCCAGGCGCGTTTTTTTTAATGTGGTATCGCCACAGAAATAGATACTTTTATTCATATTTACGTTTCTAACATTTCAGATGGAAATGGATATAGTGTAAATACTACTAAGTATCGATTTGTGCAGCCCTAATCCACTTAAATTAACTTACAAACTAATTATACCTAACTGACCCGAATATAACGCCAAAAGAACCCCCGCGAAATGACCTAATGTACCCCAAAATTTCGGTTTTTAAAAATGAAAGAACCTCTCGTGGTAAACAAAAAAAATGAATATAAAATGTGTACTTTAGTATTTTAGCGGTGATTGTAAATTTATAAAAAAAGAGCATTTACATGATGTACCCCCCAGATCCACCATGTAAACACTTGGAAAAAAACTTCATAGGTTCCCAGCCTATGACAAATCATAATTAATTAATTAATCTGAAGAAAAGCGCGAAAAATATAAGAAAGGCTCTTTCATAACGCCACCCTTTTGAGCTCTGAATAAAAGTACGCGAACAACCCCAAAAAAGGTACGACCGAAAATTTTAATGTCAAAACGCCCCCTAACCTGACATTAACTAAATACTACTATAATACAATAATATTACTAACTATACAATAATAATAGAAAGTCTTATCTCACAGTTAATTTTCCTTTCGATTATGTCATATCTTCCGTCAATTCAGTTGTGGGCGTATAGTGGTGCTCGTTGGTTTTGAGTTCTAGTTCATTTTCTGGCAAATCTCGTGTAAGACCTAAAAAGAGGTAAACATAGAATTTCATTATATTTATTCCTATGGGTTGTAGAAGTAATTGTAGGTACCCACTTGCACATGTCCTTTAATTCGGTAGTGGTCTTGGTAAGACATACAATACAATGTCTTCTTGGAAAGACATCTGAAATGAAAAAAAAAAACATAAATGCCCCTAATAGGGACGAATTTACAAACGAGGCCCCGATTATATTAATAAAAGAATATATGGCCATAACTAATGTCTAATTAACGATAATACGATAAAAACCTCTACATATGCCTATCCTCCTGGCAGTTATTTGGAAGTGTGCTGGTGCTTTGTGGTGCGAAAAAAAATTAATTCTGTAAGCCTGAAATAAAAATTGGTTTAAAATATATAAAGAAAAATGATTTATACATATTACTTAGCAATGTGCTAATAATTTTAGTGTCTTGGTACATCAATTACTCTGACCAATTTTCTCCTATGGGTTGTGGAAGTAGTTCTTGGTACTCACTTGCACATGTCTTTCTATTCGGTAGAGGTTTTTTGCTAGTACCTGTATGCTTCGTAAGCAGTTTCCTTGGAAAGATATCTGAAATGAGATAAAAACAACACAAGTGCCCCTAAAAATAGGGGCATACATACAAACGGGGCCCCGATAACAAAATTAAAAATATTATATACTTATATCTAACTAAGGTCTAGTTACTTAATATTAACTTATGAATACAAAAAACCTGTACATATCCTTATTGAGGTGAACTGAAAGAGTTAAGGGTACTCTTGATAGAGTGTAATGATTGCTATTTGGTATGTTTAGCATCTCACTTCCCAATATGAAGGTTTTACCTTAGTGTCCTAATTCGACTCAACAAAACCTGCAGTTACCAGTGGAGATTTTAACTAACTACACGATTAAAACGAAATCTACTTATCAACTTATTGATTGTTACCGAGTCATGTTTACAGATCCGAGAGCTCGACTGCACTTATGTACAGTGATGTCTTAAGCCTAAATTCGAATGTACAAACGATTGGGCAATCATAAAGCTAGAAACTATTAAAAATGTATAGAACGGCGTAATTACGAAGGGGAAAGCTTAAAATCGGAAAACTCGGATTTTTCGAGATCATGTTTTTTCCTGGTACAACATACCATCACTATGCACTAACTAAGCGAGGGCCTGTGTGCTACGTACTGGATTGACCACCTAAGAGGACTGATACTAAAAGACGATCGCGACTCCGGACCTCATACGATAGGAACCTTTTAGGCAGGAGGGGATTTAGTTTGCACTAAGGGTTGTGCAACTCCTTGGAAACGATGTACGATGGTTTTATAGAACGCAAACAATTGCGACTTTGGACCTCATACGACAGGAACCATATAGGCGGGTGGCGGATGTAGTTTGCACTAAAGGTTGTGCAACACTTTGGAAACATTGCATGCTGTCGTTACAAAGTCGCAATCACTTTTTAAGTATCAGTCCTTTGAGGTAGTCAATCGAGCCAGTAGGACGCCAGCCTCCGGGCAGTTAGTGTATATTGGTGCGTGTGTTGTTCCATGGGCGAAGAACACAATCCAGAAAATGCGAGAGTTCTCCGATTGTAAGCGATTCCCTTTGTCATCACGCCGTATTATACACATCTATAATTTCAAGGTTCATGATCAACCAAAACAATAGTATATCAGAATTTAAACTTAAGACATGACTACAAAAATACAGCCATATCTTCGCACCGACAAACACAACTAGGTAACATTAAATAAGTTAATAAGTATAGATTCTGTTTCATTCGTGTAGTTAGTTGCGCACTCCACAGATAATTACCGGTTTTTATTAAAAGTCAGATTGGGGCGCTAAGGCAAACCCTGTATATTGGCAAATGCAATGCTAAAATGTACCAAATAGCAGTCATTGCACCCCAAAAAGGGTACCCTCAACCTTTTTAATCCACCACAACCTCCTGGCGGTCATCTGGCAGTCCTGGTGCTTACCGTTGCGGAAAGAAATTAACTCTGCAACCCTGAAATGAAAAGTGACTTTAAACAAATGAAATAGACAAAGACCTACAAATACTATTTGGCAGCCTGCTCTTATTCATTCCAATCCTCCGGTACATCATATCGGTGCACATGTTCTCCTGTTCGTTGTAGTATTCTAACTCCTGGTATCTTTAGTTGAGGCCCATTTACACTAAAATAAATGTTAATTTTAGTTATTTTTACACAATTTAGGGTTTTGTAACATAATACCTTTTTTTTTTAACTTCAAACAGTACGTCTTCAACATTTCTCCGTTTAGGAGACTTATTGTGCAATCACAAAAAATTTAAATTATTTAATTAGAATATGTTCGTTACATTACAGCAGAAAAATCAGTCAAAATAAAAACAAGTAATTTATTGAACAAAGTTTTTAGACGAGTTATTTACATCCATGCTACTGATAAAATAATTCCAAAAAATGAAACATTGTACATATAATACTAATTAGAAATTAAAGTGTATGGGGTTGCGTTGCTTCTGGGAAAAACATCGCAAGGATCCATACACCGAATGAAAAAAATTAATATATCTAATTAATTTATTAACGAAACGCGAATTACTTGAACCTGCCGTGGGGGGTAGGCGACAGGAACACATTTAAACACGGAAATCGTTTTAAACGATATTAAAATTACGAATAAGTCGTCGCACGAACAAAAAAAAAAATAATTAAAATGTGGACGCAAATAACTCAGAATTATAACTTTAAAGAATTATAAAAAATAATTAAAAATTGTAAATGTGATTAAATAAAAAAAATCTATGCAGAATAAATCCCCGAAGCAATCCGCCACTGCGCAAAACACTGTATGAAATCTGAAACAAAACAAATGTAGTCAATTTGAAATATTTGAAACATAAGATTTATATTAAAACTTTACAATATAAATATTGCATTAAATTATTTATGTTAACTCAATGGCTAAAATTTAATATTTTCACAACAATAAACACTAAGGCGACTCTTCAGCACAAATATATTGAATTAGAAAATGTAACGTAAATCGTTTAATATAAAAGAGACGAATATTTACATCAATTTATTTACATTCTTATAGTTATAATTCAACAGAAAATCAAGTCAAATCGAATCGATAAAAACAAATTCCATGACACGTATTTGAAATTGAATGTACGAAACTATTACATAATACATAAATATTTTTAAAAGACTTACCACTGACTGTAGTGTACACGAAGCGAGCTCCAAATCCAGAATGATTTTTGTTGGAAATTACGCATTTCTTATATGGGGTCAGAAAGGGACAAAACTAAGAATTGTTACCAGATGATGCTGAAATTCAAAAATTGTTATCTAATTGAATAGTTTCGGGTTCAGAACCACAGAGGGTGCAATACGAAAGGTTTGTACCTCACAATCAGTCTGAATTCAACCTTCCTGGTGAGGTGGTCGAAATTATTACATATTTGCATCTAGTTCTGTTTGATTTATATATTTGATTTAATTGTGAAGTATTATTTGTATTAACTATGTTTTTATTTGTATTTGCGTCTTATTAATTTGTGCGTTTGTATATATAATTATAAAACAAAATTAAAAGTATTTTTGTTTTCTTTTCTGTTTCAAAATTACACTGAAGATGAGACCATCACCTTGGTATCGAAATTTCTGTAATTTGAAAACACACTATTTGACATTTGAATTCTATTCGTAACACACGTCCTTACTTTTTTCCAATCAATACTATCAATACAATCAACTAGTAGTGCATGGCATCGTGCTTTACGGCAAATTGCTGGAACTTCCCGTATTTTGAAACGTAAAGATATGCAAAATGTTCATTTTCGATTTTTGTGCGATTACTATAACTTACCCTATGGACAGTTAATTTAATCAGTTATTGTGTGATTTTATTAAATGGTTTTATGCGAATTTAATTTTGCACGATTGTTTTGTTCGCTTTATTTTTATGTGGTATATGAATCTTACGGGGTATTCTAGTGTAGGAATTTAAACAAATAGTTCTTTTTTTAACTTTCCGTAAGGTAAGTTATTGTAATCGTCCAAAAATCGAAATTGAAAGATAAAGAGCAAAGAGTGCGAGTTTTTGAGAGAACGGAGCATCCGATTTCAATGATCTAGAAAACATTCAATTTTTGATGATTGGGAAAAGAGGTGATTAGTTTTTGCAAAAGCAGGTCCGGCCGTTTCGGAGATACAGAGCTAAATGTGCAAAAATGGCAGTTTTTGAGAGAACTAAGCGTCCGATTTAAATGACTCAAAAAACTTTCTGCTTGTTTTAACAAAATAATTGACTTTGGAAAAAAAATTCTGTTTAAATTTTTTTTGTATATCGAAAATAATTCAGATTTTATTTTTAATTCTGACTAAAGTTCTAATGCTCACTCATATACTTTAAATAAATAATTTCAACTTTGCAATTCAGTTGATATAATTCTTATAAATATTAGACAATACAATATTTATAATAATCTATTTGAAAACATTTAATATTGTTCGAACATTTCGTTACGGTATGGGAAGTTCCAGCAATTTGCCTTAAGGCACGATGCCATGCGCCCGACAAGTTTAATTTGTACAATTCATGTTAGATAAAAAGCTCAACAGTTACATAGAATTTAATAAAAAAAAAACGCATAAACAAAATCTCACACGATTAAATGAGGTGTTACGAGATAATATTTGAACAAATCAAACTATAAAGCTTACATTTTATTTTTTAATAAGAAAGTTCGAAACAAAAGCTTCATCAGTCTTGCCTTGGCCCCTTTCATGATAAAAGCTCGCTCCATCTGCATGCGAGCTTTCAAAGCTCTGTACAGCGCACTAGTGAGAGAAAATGAGAATATTAGATCACCTGTAAAGAAAAATATTAGTGATATTTAATAATAAAAAATATAATTAAATTAAATTAAAAGGTACGACCCACCACAAAATTTGCGGCCTTGACTTAAAAAAGTTGCTCATCCTTGCTCTAAATAATACAATAATTCGACATCATATATTAATGTTATAAAAATTATAAATCGCGTTTATTTAAATCTTGCCAAGGTGCGAAAAGTAGGATTAAAATTTACAAAAATATTAGTAACATTTCTTGTTAAATATGTAAATTATGATAATAAAAAATAAAATTAATATTCACCTTAACAACTGCCAGCATGCTGATTAAAAATCATACACAAGCCAAAATATTCATAAACATATGTCACATATTAGCCAGGATGTTGTACAAAAAATCACACATTGGTCAAGATATTATCTCTAAATAACACATGAGACA